GCCGGAGCCCATCATCCTCTCCGATGATCAGGAGGAAGAACCTACTCCTGTTTCTACCCCTCAACCTTCTCTTGATGATGAAAGGATGATCCCCTTGATCCAGCTCATTGCCATGGTCCCTGTCGGCCAAGAGTCTGTCACCCTGAGTCCTAGATCCGTGCACGGTCTCGTTGGCCAACTAGAGAACGCCATGAAACAGGTGGTCTCCATTGTTAGCCTTGGCTGGGGGTCCTATGCTGACTTCAAATCCTTCCTCATGAACTGTATAGCCGATCTTAGGTGCTTGGGTAAGGCTTGCGAGGCTTCACGTCGCCCGATCAAGCTTCTTCGCTTTGAGCTATGCCTGACACGCCTGGATGCTCTGTCGCGCTGTGACTCGGAGCCGGACGTGGAGTGGTTCGTGACTCAGGCTTGTGCTAAAGGGGTGTGTGAGTGGGAGATCCGAGAGAAGGACCTATCGAACCAAGGGGCCCTCTTCTCGCATTTGCTTCATCGTCAACGCTTACTGCAGGCAGAAATCGACGCTTCAACCTCCACCGTTGCCCGAATGAAGGCTCAGCTGATGGAGGAAGAGGTGACTTTGAGGGACTTGCAGCTCAAAAGCACGGGCGTTCACGATGCTGTTGAAAAGGAGATGCAGACTCTCCAGGCGCTTCGTCAAGAGGGCTCCATTGTTGTTGCTGCTTTTGAGGCCAAGATCCGAAAGGAGGCAGAAGACTGGGTCCGAGTTGATCGAGCGGAGAGGATAGCCAAGATCAAGATGAACTCGCCTTTCTGACCGAGATGGACTAGGACTGACGAGGGATTAGCCCTTAGGATCTCCTCATGTTTCTTCGTGTTGTTTTTGTTATAATTCTGTTTGAAAGATTTATCATCATCTTGTTTGAATGACTTGTCACCACTGTGACTGATGAATTGTTATACTTTTGGTTATTTAATGTTATGCGCATATGCTCTCTTTCTCTTGTTTCTCTTAGGATTTTTAGCAAATCCCCAGCTATCAACGGGTTTGACTTGTCTTTACCAATTACCATTTGAATCGGGCTAGCCATACTATTCTCCTCAGTATGATGAGTTGTCGAGTAGTTTCTCTTAGGCTTAATGCTAAGACTTCTACTCTAACCCTTAGCTGTTTGAGGCATGGGTTTGAGTTAATTGTATCCGGCAGGTTGTAGTTTGGTTGTATTGTAATAACTTAAACTAAAACGACCGTTGCCTGCAGGTGCGTCCGGAGGGTGTATCAATAGGTTGTATCGTTTGGTAGGTTTGACTGTGTAGGTGAGATCGTTCTATTGACAGCTTGACACTTCAGATGAGCTGGACCACTTGAGATTTGTCTTCACGGGTGAACTAGGCCAAACAAACGAGCAGCTCAGGCGAGACTCATTTTCAGTGATGAAGCGAGCTAGACGTTCGTAGGCGAGTTGCATTTTCGTAGGCAAAATTTGAAATGGCGAAAGTCGAGCCATGTGTTCGCAGGCGAAATCCATCCTCACAGGCGGAGTTCGAATTGGCGGGGGGGGGGCCACGTGTTTGCCAGCAAAGCTTTATGCCTTCCAGCTAAGGCCGCATGGGCTCATCAGGTCACATTAAATGCGATTTGACAAAGCGAAGTCGCTTCTGTGCACTTCGTTTGATGACGAATCGTGGCCATAGATTCTGAAACCGGCTGTTAGATTTAGTCGTGAATTTTGGTTCAGGTTCTGGGTTTCGGCTTGCCCGACCCATTCCCTGTTTTGACGGTTCCTCTGTAACCGCCGAAAACCAAACTGTTGAGAGTGATCTAGGCCGTCAATTTTGATCGTGGCTACGTCTCTCAACCACCAACGTCTCATCTCTTGAGAGCGATCTGGGCTGTCAATTTCAATCGTGGCCACGCCCCTCAACCGCAAGTGTCTCGCCTTTAAATAGGCTTCGTCTTCTTCCTTTGAGGACTACTGTGCTCAGGAATTTCTACTTGCTCGAAAATTTTTTAGAGAGAAAGAACTCCATCTTCATTTTTGGCTTTTCGATATGGCACCGAAAGCTAAGAAATGTATCTCAAAGGGAAAGGGTCCCTGTCGCTATCCTAGTAGTGTCACCGCTGGTATGGTCGCCAGCGCTCCTGGGACGCACTTGGGTAAGTCTAATGACTTTGCATTGACGACTGACACTGGGTCGGGAAGATGAGCGCTGCTCGTCTTCTTTAGTGGATTTTGTCATTTTTTGGGCAATTTTCCCGATCTGGGTGAAACTGGCCTTTTTCAGACGGATCTTGCTTTCATTGGGTGGAGACGACTTCTGCTTTGACAGGCAAAATCGGCTTTCATCGGGTGAAGGCGGATTCGGCCTTGACGGGAAAATTCTGCTTTTGTCAAGCGGGTTTGCCCTTTGTTAGGCGAATCCAATGCTTGTCAGGTGAAACTGGTTTCGCCGGGCGAGATTCGCCTGTTTGGGCGACTCGAGAGAGTTTCTGACCCCAAGAGTGGATTATGTTCTAACTCTTCGGCTTTGTCTTGCAGCCACTTTTTTGATGAGGCCCTCCCGAAGGGCGTGACCATTGGTCTTGCTGGCATCGGGTGAAGGCGGATTCGGCCTTGACGGGAAAATTCTGCTTTTGTCAAGCGGGTTTGCCCTTTGTTAGGCGAATCCAATGCTTGTCAGGTGAAACTGGTTTCGCCGGGCGAGATTCGCCTGTTTGGGCGACTCGAGAGAGTTTCTGACCCCAAGAGTGGATTATGTTCTAACTCTTCGGCTTTGTCTTGCAGCCACTTTTTTGATGAGGCCCTCCCGAAGGGCGTGACCATTGGTCTTGCTGGAGGTACGGTCTATACGGCGCCTCCTCGATTCCCTTTCCTTGATCTTGTGCCCGCGTTCGCTGCCGATAAGCCGGATGAATTGATCAAGAGAGTAACTTACGGGCACCACTTGACGTTGCGCGAGTTGACTACGGACGCAGCGTTGACGGACGAGGCTACGGCAGAGCTGAAAAAGCCCCAGTTCCTGTTTGGTGACGCCACTGTCGACCCTTCAGCTCTATTGCTTGGGGAGAGCAGGTAGCTCCGTGTTGTGGGTGGAGTCCACTACTACCTTTCCAGCATGCCGAGGGGGTTTTCAATCGTCGAGTTACGGTCGCTTGTGGTTCCGAAAACGATGAACTAGGATCTGACTCCGACCGAAGATGGGGTGACCTACGGTGTCTTCACGGGCTCAACGGCTGGGTACGGGGTCGACAGTTCCTGCAAGTGTGTGACCGCTCTGTGTCCTGGCCTGTTGTACAATGAGTTGCCCGTCGGGGAGACGTCTGCGGTGGCGGATACCTTTTGTCACCATTTCTTTCGGACCAGGGGACAGTTTCCTCCGAAGGATTTCAGGGCTCCAGGGTAGATTTACTCGGTGCCTGGTAGTAGCACCTGGTGGTCTAAGATCACCGAGTACATCTTGGATGAGAATTCCGACCTTGCGGGTTCAGAACTGTATGTGGCTATCCGAGCCACTCAACATGGTCTGAAGATCAACGCTCCTCAGTTCCACTATATTATAGAACTTTATTGTCCAGATAGCGATACGTTCTTCACTCCCAACGGTGAGCTTAGCATAACTCTCCATGAGATGTACGACGTGTTGGGGTTGCTTTTGGGGTGTTTTCCTTACGAAGAGTACGTACCAGCTCAAGACAAGATTGACCACCTTTCGACCCGATTCCCTCTGATGGTGGAGACTCTGTGGGAGCTGATCGACCGCTACCATATATGCCTTAACACCCTAGGGACAATGGACCATAAAGGCAAGAAGAAGAGAGCCCCGGTGATCAGCCATAAGAACTGGGCTGACTATCTGTTCCCGAAAAATGATGTCAAGGGAAGGTCTATTTTACCGCTGGGCGAGTGTGACCAGGCCGAAGTGGAGAATCAGATAGCCGAAGGGGGAACTACCGAAACCCTTGAGCATGATGAGGGTGGGTTCAATTTTGAAACGACTCTCCACTCGTTCCATTATCAGGCCAAGTCCCCTATATCCGGAAAGGCTCTATTCTCCGGGTACCTCATGTTGTGGTTGAAGAGATGTGTGGTTCCCACTCATTCCTTCGAGGCGCTTCCAGTGGAGGTCATCTATCCTGTGGTTCGCTTAGCCTACGGGAGATCCTATGCGCTGGTGTCAGTGATGGTGACATGCATCCATTAGGGACTTTGTACATTGACAGCCTAAATTTGTCGAGTTTCATGCGCCGATGAGGGGGAAGGCAGAGTCGCTAAGACTCCTAATCCCAGAGTAGGGCTGTCGTACACATATTTGATGGTGTGGTTCGTTTACCACTATGAGTGCTTGATGAGCGCCCCAGCGGCTCTCCAGGAGGGAGGGTTCGTCTCGTTCGTCCAACGTCTGGAGAAATGCTCCTGGAAGTGTAGAGACATCCCCGACATGAGGAAGACGCTGTCTCACTTCGGTCACTATAATTTTCACCATTTCTTCCCCTACTTCAGTGGCGGAGGGTATGGCGAGTCTCTTTGGGACGTATCAATGGCGGACCACCACACCGTCCTCTCCTGCGGTGCCTTTCGATGGTTGGTGAATATCTGACTGGGGTATCACATCATGCGAACAGGCTCCGTGTGCTACCTTGAGCCTTATGTTCCTTGCAGGTTTGCTCGTCAGTTTGGGTATGACCAACTGTACGTAGGAAACATTAACCCTTACTTGCATTATGAGGGAGGGTTAGTGGATGGCGCATGGGGGTGGTTCTGGACGCATGCCGGTGGCACCAACATGCATTTCAAACCACCTGCAAAGGATTACGACCTTCACCATACGCTCCTATATTGCCGGTGATATCGGGGCGCCAGTGCTAATCCTGAGGGCTTTCGGTTCCAGAGTTCTTGTCTGGCGGAACATGTGCGTCACCCAAGGACAACTCCACGCCCCCTCCAGGTGGAAGGGTCGCCAGAACATTAGAGAGTGGTTTTCGAAAGTCCCTATCGAGGACACCGAGGACCTTTACACGAGTTTAGGTGAATTCGGGTCATTTGAGACTCAAGCTTTGCCTCCTTACCCTTCGCTGGACCCTGCTGGTGGGCGGAGAGAATCTAATGAGCTGGCCCGAGTGGGTGAACATCTAGAACAGGTCTAGGAAATGA